GAAGTCTCTCTCTCTCTCTCTCTCTCTCGGAAGTAAGTTCATCTGCCAGCTGCAGCATGAGAAACGGTAAGCAGAAAACTTTTACTGAGCTTCACAGTTTATTGTTTGTTTTAATGTCATAGTTTCTTTATAAATCCTATAAGGATGTTTTAAGGTGGAGGTGATATCGGGGAGAATGAATACTCTTGTGAAGATTCTGTGTCTTTTCATAGGTTAATTTTTAATTTTTCCATTTCTTTCCATTTACAATATTCTCTGTTTGATAGACATACCAAACATTGATTATTTTAGATTTATTTGACATAACAATATGATGAATATAATGCATCCCACCCATCAGTATAAAACACAATGTAACTGCGTTTGAAGATGTTTTGAGAACTTCACTCATTTAGCTGTTTGATGATTGTTTCTATTTTTGAAATGTCAAAATATGTAAGTCTCTGTTTAACCCAACTGATTTGACTGTGTTTTCTCTAGTTTTGCCCAGTGTGTTGATGAAGTCTGGAAATGTTTATGTGAGAACAGTGGGTGAAACGGTGCAGATCAGATGTCCATATCCAGATGACCATAGATATACACCCAAGTACTTTTGCCGTCATCCCTGTAAATCATCTGAGCAGGTTTTGATTAAAACTGCAAAGACTTATCAGGTCGTCTTGGATGGAAGATACTCTTTGACTGATACTGTAAATGGACAGTTCTTTACTGTAACCATCAAACATCTCAGACTCACAGACTCTGGTGTTTATTACTGTGGACTTGATCAATGGTTCATTGACACACTGAAGAAAGTTAATCTATCTGTTCATCAAGGTAGGTCTGCAAACAGTTTGTGAATATAATGTAGCCTATATATTCATCTTCCCGTTTAAATACTTCACAAAACCGTTTATTATACTTAAATTCCTCTTTTTCTGTTTTATCCTCAGCAGCTCCCGTGAGCAGATCTACACACACCCCTGAAAACACACATATAACATCTACATGGACAACAACACTCACCTCGGCAGGTACAAGTTCATCCATTTAGCAAAATAGAGATACTATTGACCCATCAAGACATTCCCCCTTAAATTATTTACAGTGCAGTTTGTAATTCGTAATCTTTATTATTTGAATAGTTTTGATCAGTTGAAAAAAGTAAAGTTTTTTTTCTTGAATAATAATAATAAATTGTACTCTGTTTACAAGTAATACTGTGATGCTGTCTCTCCCAGATAATTCTCACTCATATGAACTACCATCAACAGTCCAATCACCAGGTTCCACTCCTCCAGTCAACAGCTCCTCTGGTGACTCTTCTTTTTTTAGACCCATTTGTTTGTTTATGTTGCTGTATTAGAATTCTTACAATAACAGTAATTGGTTATTTATTTACTTTTATTTATTGTGCTTGTACTTATTTTTTATTCCAGTCAATGTGACTGTGGTTTGTGCAGGTGTTTTGTTATTCCTGGTTTTCTGGATCATTGTGGCTTTAGTGTGTATCTACAGCAGAAGATCAGATGCAAAGTCCAGATGTAAGATCATAAACATCAATGTACTGGTTTAAACTAGCATGATGCTTCCGAATCATCTTCAGTCAAGTCTCATATTCCTCAGGTCTTTATTTTTTATAATTCATTCTAACCTTTTACTGATAAATGAAATCTAACATTATTTATATTATTCACATGTTGATGCTTTGAAACCTCACACCACTGAAGATACAGCTCAAGATCCACCAGACTTCAACCAGGTATGGAAAACTTTCTGTGTGCCAGCAAGAACATTTTGCACCAAACAAATTTATCTGAAAAATTTTCAAGTAAAAAAAGAATATAAAAATGATCATCAATGCATGCTTGAGTATATTTGAGTTGTTAGCTTTGAACGTTTTCTGAACTCAGTGTTGAATCTTTACTGTGTATGAACTGTCATTCTGTATTTTGCTCTCTGTCAGGCTGTGGACGATGTCTGTACAATGGTAGTGTATAGTTTGGATGATCCACCTAAAGAAGACTGTTCTTCTCTAAACTATTCAACTATATTACTGCACGTGACTCAGGAACAGAGTCATTCTGGAATGTGGAACTAATTATTTACTATTATAATTACTCCATATTTAGACCTAATCATATTCTCATCAGCAGCAGCAGCATCTCTCTTTTTATCTGTATGATAACATAATTTCTGCAATAAGTCAATAAAAAGTATATTGTTTGCAGAGTAACTTTAGCCATCATCCATCAGTCTGATGACTAAATGAACATTAGTTCACCATTTCCTGGATGGCAGATCAGTGTCTGTGCTGCATTCGATTTTGACACTTTTGCAGAGCATTTGTGATGTACAGTATGTGGTCAAAGAATAGAACATTTTGCGATGTCTGTTGCAAACAAAATGAGGAATTGTTAATGAAAATAAATGAAATTGAATTGGTACCATTGTTGTGATTCACGTGCTGAATGTTTAAGTCTGTGTGTGACCAGATGGGATTTTTTAATCGCCCAAAAATGTCCGGGATTTGGCTGTTTTCTTAATCTCGCTCCAACTGAATCTCTGCCATTGCCGCCTGCTCCCGCGATTTTCGTGTTCACTCCTTTAATACGCACTCTGTGTAAAGGGAGCACATCTTACTAGATCAGATGTTTGTTGATGAGTTCAGGATCTGTTGAGCAGCAAATACTCCAGCATGGTCTTGTCAGTCATCTCTCTTTATTCTCGACCTGTGATCAGTCAAATCTGACTCCTGCAGCTCTTGTTGGATGCAGGGTTGCCAAGTCCTCGATGCTCCCACAGAATTGGGCTACTTTTAAACTTGCCATGGGTTGATTTTCCCAAGTGGGTTAAACGTTTGAAATATTGCATAAATTATATTTGACTGAAATGCTTGTATTGAAACATTTTGCATTCTACCTATGATAAAACTTTCATGGACTTCTACATTAACTGTTCCCACCTGGTGGAATGACCTGCCCAGCTCAATCCAAGCAGCTGAGTCCTTAATATTTTCAAGAAACGGCTGAAAACACATCTCTTTCATCTTCATTTGACCCTCTAACTCTAGCACTCTCTATTCTAATGCTACTTCTAATTTTATCTGCATGTTTTTTTTTATTAAAAAACTTGACCCTCTAACATTTGCACTCTCTATTCTATTTCTATTCTAATGGCCAATCCATCATTTAAAGAAAGAAGAGCCTCTAACACTAGCATTCTCTATTCTTTCTACTTATTTTCTTTTTATTTATTATAAATAATGACCTTCTAACACTAGCATTATCTGTTCT